ACATTTCCAATAATTGATAACGGATATTAATATTTTATTATTACAAGAGATGAAACCACCCCAGGGAAGCCGTTCCGATTTGGTTTTATCCTCAGCAGCCAAATACAAACTTACTTCTTTCCGCCTGGGAGAAAGGTCGTTTATATTCCTCTTCTAAATACTTTCTATATTTGGCAGTATAGACTGTTGCATAACATCCAGATCCAATTTCCTTAATTTCACTAAAGTCAGTGTATGACATATGTGAATATGAATAAATTTGTACAAATTTGTCCAATATTGCATGTATGTGGTAAAACACTAAAAAGTATTCATGAGAAGATGGCTCTTGAGTGATTCCAGCTATCCAAATATTATCCGGAGTCAATATTTTAGGGTTAGCTGTTTGAGTAAATAAATACAGTCATTACAACAATAATCAATGTTAAACACATGATATATACTTATCGATTGCACAAAATAATTTATCTTTTTGAATAACCAATCTGCTATATGTGTAAATCTATTACTATGGGGTAATGATGTCATCTCTTGTATGTTTGATAATCGAGAGTATTCAATCCATTGTATATATTCATCATGTATTGTTTCATGACTCCATAATAAATGAATCCAATGACTTATTGCCTGTAGTCCAATTGAGAGGTCTTGGTGCTTTACATCCATAACAGAATATACTTATGCTAGGTTCAAACATTGCTGTACATGTCCAAACATAATCCATTCTCACGTTTTAGTAGACAATACTTTTGTTTGTTTGTATCATATGTAATAGTAAATCCAATCGTTATCCATACATTATTAGCTGGGTGCTCATTACATAACTAGTGGACATGATACGTAATAGTCAGCAATTATTTAAAATATTCGATAAACATGACGCATAAGTAAATAGTTTACCTCGGCATAATATAAATCATGTGTCTTGTCTGTTATCTCAAGTGGAATCAATTTAAAAAACAATGCAACCGGTCGAATTAACGGACGTAATTATAATATTATTTACATGCATTGGCTTAATAGAAGCGGTCGAATTAGAAAATTTACAAGTTTGATCGAATAAAAGGCTCGGCCATTATTAGAAACTTTAACAAGCGTTTTAAGATATAATTGCACGTCCTTTTTTTGGCATTGATTAACGAAAAATTCTGACCAATAATACATCGAGGCTAGTGTTGGCTTACGTCACGGGACTTTCCTTTTTTCGACACTATACGCGATAAGCGCGATACTTACTATTACTATAATATCGTCATTGTAAGAGCTGATTTTATACCTTTGTTCTTTAGTATCTTCACAAAGAAATGGGCGACCAACTCCAATCCGAGATAGGAAGAGTTAAGACTGAGATAGAACGCATTAAAGCTCTTCCAGCTAATAAACCAGAGAATGCGGCCACTCTTCAGTCTTTATATGCTTACCTTGTCGAACTATCGAAGAAAGGTAACGACCTTATAAGTCAGATGTTAAGGACATAGAGTAATGCATAAAGTAATGTGTACATAGAGTAGAGTAGACAATAGTAATATGGTTGTTTTCTTTATTATGTGTTTGTTGTTCAGGTGGTGTGGTAAATTTACTGTAGAACTACTAAGGTAGAATCGTAGAGTGGACATAATAATATGATTTCATGCATAAGAGAGTAGCATTGCCTGAGAGAACTGACCCACCTTTTTTTTATATTAAGTGCCACCATTACCTCTTCAAGGTACAGTGAATTTTGATTTCTAAACCATTCTCCCAAAACGAATATGACAATCTATATATTGACTTATTTCCCATACTCTCTTCTTTCTAACGTGTGCTGCCATCTAGCTATCCAGCCAACTGCTCTTTATCCACCTGCGGGAGGTAATATTTATTATAACTATGGGCATTCAAATCGGGTTACAACTAGAGAAGAGTTGAAGCAAATGACTGTCAGGAGGTACGGGTCGAGGATACACTATTCTAAACGATATTATGGTGAGTGTTAATACTATTACTTTGGGCTTATGACATGTCATTATTATTCACCGGGAGTGCTCTTCAGCTCTTCTTACATATAATCTCTCCCGAAGACAATGAAAATGAGTACAGGTAAACGCGATTCAAGCAATCGATTGTTAGACTGTACATTCTTTTTGAATCACGAGTAATTGTTGTTTATATGATCAGGCATGTGATATTACCCCGTGCTATTGCCGAATTTCTTCCGCGAAACAAGCTCCTAACAGAAGAAGAATGGAGAAGTTACGGCCTTAAACAGTCTACTGGATGGGAGCACTATATGATTCATTGTGAGTGGATAACCATCCAAAGACCGAGATATGTCCATAGAATCCTGTCTAATAAATCGTTTTTTGCAGCCCCGGAACCTCATATTCTGCTTTTTCGACGAGAAAAGGACTATCAAATCAAATATCCTACTGAAAAGGGAAATCAAGTCTGAAGGTAAGTTGAATGAGTGGAAAGTATCGGCTTAATTGGCGTCCGCTGGCAATCACGTTGACATTGTTTCTAAATTTATGCTGGAATACTTTTAAAAACCTTGCTAATCATATTAAGTGTTGGGGACGGATTAGTACAGGCATTACTTACATGTTAATTGCATTCACGGGACAAGATTAGTGTATATATTGATGCGAGATGTCTTTATAATATAAATTGATTACTAGTACAATGGATATGTCATCCAATAAATAGTGTTTGACTCGAATGATTTCTGCATGCGTTGCGGATGCTGTCGATATCAATCAGTAGCGCTTATTTCACACATATGATGTAGGCTTTTCAGAGGTACAACAAGATCCAAATGTAGTTGCATCGCTGCTGCCCAGCACTCAGTCGCGCTCAGTGTTTGCATCAAATACCAAGAATCCAAGATGAAGAAAACAGTAAGGGAAATTGCAATCGGTACCGCAATCAGTCCATCAAGCAGGGGGAACAATAGTGGGTGCATGATGACTCCGGCGACGATAATCATGGAAATCGCAAATTTGCTATCGCGGATTAATGAACAAACGATGAGTACATTAGAGATATTCCGCACGACCAAATCGACGAATAAACTGCAAAAGTAACCTTTTTTCCATATGAGACGACGTATACTTACATAGAGTTTCTAGTCCTATATTTCAATTTAATTTGGAGTGTAAAAATCCAAATTGCGATCCCACCAACAGTAGTCAGGATTAAAGCATCAAGCAACGGTTCGATCTTGAACACTGCGACTGAATATTCCCAAGATTTACAGTTAGTTAAATAGTAGAATCAATACCGGAAAATACAAAAGCATCCATTGACTTACTGAAACCAGCAATCGTATAGGCATCAACAAAAGTATAAACCAAGACAAGAAATATCGGCGGTTGAAACTCATCATTCGATTTGTATGTTAGGCCGACGAGCAGTAAAAAGGTGGATAACAGTGATATTCCCCATAACCACAAGTGCCGAACAACAAATAGCCGCCAATCTTCTATACGAAGAAATAACAGACTGGCGATAGATACGGTCAAGAGTTGAAACGTGAAGAGAGTATACGTTTTACGGATGAACACTAAACCACGGGAAGAAATACAATCAGTCGTTGGCAATTTATCATATCAGCATCTCATTATCACAGGAACTAAATACAGTGCAAACAACTCAATACCCATTTGCGTTCGAGTATTTGACCATTTGACCGGTTTGCCGAATGGAAACAGTGGATTGTTCCCTTCATCGGAATTCTCCAAAGCACTTTCATTTAAAGCGCCTGGCGTTGCGTCAAACGTTTGATACGACATCACTGTTGATAATCTGCAGTATGCATGCGTTCACGTTTTATTTTTATATTCATTAAAAACTGTACACCTCACATGACACTCATTTTGTTCCACAAAGGTCGACACTTTCTTTTAGAAAGAAACCGATAAACCAAGAGCTCTCAATTCTATACAGTTTATTTCGATTTCAGTTTTTGGATAATAATAAATAGGTATGTAAATGGTGAATTGAATCTGTTTCTAACCGTTAACCATGCTCATAAGTAACAATCATTCACCCTAAAGCTTTTGGTTACCTTATGGCTAATATTCGTGGATATATTTGACAGGATTTCAAACAAGTGCAAATACGTATTTACTCAACTTGTCGTTTACCCAACAAGGTTCTACTTTATGAATTGCATAGTACATTTTTAATTTAGTATTAGCGGTTAATAGCCGATTAAATATAAATAATACTAGTACAAACTTGGTTAATTATAATATTCCCATCCATATTAATGCATCACTATAAACGACGCGTAGAGTCGCAGGGAAAGAAGCTTGTTAAAATATGTACATGATTAACATGGTCACATACTCAGATAACGCTATCGGTTTTCAATATACAGTAATAGCAATTATCGATATTTACTATTGTTACTATTTATGTAATTTTGGCGACTATGAGATAAGTTTCGTTTTACCATTTGACGGTTCTGTCGTGAATGAATAATTGGTAAGCAATTATTTGCCACATTAATATGAATGTTCTGGTTTCTATCAAAGATCTTGTCAAGTGCTTCTCAGTAAACATTGTAAATTTGAAAATTTCCGAAGATCATTCCGATCACATGATGAACAGCGAACTTTTTAGCCTTTGTAATATGAATGCTCTTGCGGAAATGTCATATCCTAGTAAAACACATAGTATTCGAGGAATGAGTTTAATTCGACCGATCATACAAAGGCTCTCTAATGTATTAAAATATTTAACTCAAGAAACGTCTGAAAGTAACAGCTTAGCCACTAGCCTTGATCACATGGAGAACGGCAGTCCAGAAGCAAACACAAAGAGGTTATTCCACTTTTTTGTAATGGGAAATTCTATTATATATGTGACGACGTTGACTTATATTGTGTCCTACTAGTGTCAAACAACCATTCGATTATTACATATGCTTTGACGTAGAAGCCACTTGTGAAGAAGGACGAGATTTCAATTATGCGAACGAAATAATAGAATTCCCTGCACTTCTAATCGATAGCAAGACTTTTGACATTGTATGTTGCGGAGCATTCTCATTGTGCCGTTTCGAGTGATTCTATAAATACGCTTTCTAACAAATCGTCACGAGCAGGTCGACACTTTTCATTCTTACGTCAAGCCGAGCGTAAATCCGAAGTTATCAGACTTTTGCATCTCGCTCACAGGAATATCACAAGTATGTGAGGAAAAGTTTCTATTCGCGTATTAAACTATTTAACAAACTATTCTTCTATTTAAGGCAGTAGTCGACGAGAGTCCGTCTTTCCCGGAAATGTTATCAAGCTTCCAGCAGTTCCTGCATCGTCATAAGGTAAAGTACTTAATTATACCAATCGATATGTTTAATATATTAGAATTCTAATTTGTCTTTAGCTTTTCTCTGATAATAAATGCGCTTTCATAACTGATGGTAGGGATATGTTCATTTATCTGACTACTGGTGATTACCAATCAATAACTTAACGCATATTCTGCAGGCCCTTGGGATATTCGAGACTTCATTCACAAACAATGCAGAACATCGCATATGCTGCGACCAAGATACTTTACTTGCCCATGGGTAGACATTCGTGCTTTTTTTGCAGAGTTCTATGGTTGCGATAGATGTAATATACCTACCATGCTTAGCCGTTACGAGTTGACATTCGAAGGACGCCAACATTCCGGATTGGATGACGCAAGGAACATTGCTATCATAGCAAAGCGCATGTGGATGGATGGTGCTATACTTAAAGCAAATAGCGTGGTGATAATGAAGTCTGGAAAAAAGGCGCGCCGAAACGATAGCTTTCAATACCACAGGATATGACGATACTGGTCATCGTCAGGAATATAATGATTCGAAGCAGCGAGATGCTTTATTGCAGGGGGGTACTAGATAGTTGCTTGTCTGTCCTCGAGCGACTTGAAGCCGGACGTGAAACTTGTTTGATCCGCCTGATGATAATAGAGCATTGTAATTTTGCAACAATAATTGTTATATTTAATTTTGTTTTATGAAGTCCCTTACCCCTTATGCTTAAACTGTTAAGCTTTCTAATAAATCTCTGTTGTCAGACATTGGTTATGCCTAACCATCTCCTATCGAGAAAACTATCTTATTTAGTAATAACCATATTCCTCATCATTCCTGTATAGATAGATGTTCTAGACTTTCAATATTGAGATAATTGAAATGTAAAGCACTTAAATCCTATTATCCGTATTTGAAGTAGTAAATAAATAATCCTTTCAAATTTCAATATTTAAAGTCAGTACATAGAGGGTTGAATGGTATAGCAGTTTGGATATCTCTTTATCCTATATTGGATGAATACTTATAGTAGCGATGATGGATGAAAGAATAATGTGATAGAGTCATTTATAATGTTTATGCATATCATATGTTATTACTGTGTACCAATTCTCAACTGCAATTGTTAATACTAATGCCCATACGCTAAAGCGTTCAATTTGTATATGAAAGATCTGAATTATTAGTGTAACAGATGTTAAGACTGTCACAAAACGCGTTATGAATATTCAGATCACGTGTGAGGTTCAGAACAGCAGGCTGTCGCAAGAAGTTACTTGAAAGATTACAAGGTCACAGCTGAAGAAGAAAGAATCATTGTAGAAATATTCAAGGACTTGTATGTTTTCTTAGAATTATGTCTAGACGAATATTCCTGAAAACAGGAGAAGTGGTAAAGGCATAACCGGGTCGAGCGGTGAATAATTCATACTCTGCGTCGAATTTCAGTGAAGTTGAATAAATCCAATATCATTTCGAACGGTTGGATTTAACGTTTATTTAATTTGATCTTTCGCGTCCGAATTAGAGAGCTTTTCGAACCATTGCATTTTAAAACTTTAATACTTTGAACGTTCGAACTTGATTAAATTATACGGGCAATTTCTAATTAGCCGCAGTCAATTTGCAATATTTTCCGTGTAACAAAAGACAATATTAAAGGTTGTTGCTGTGTAGTGTTAATAATGCACTTCATGTGGACTAAGAGAATGTGAGACATAAACATTCTGTCACCAACTCAATCTAACTGTGTGACTATTAGTACATAGTGAAAACCACATAGGTGGGAAATGCTAAGAAACTCGGTTTAGCGGGTTTCAATTAGTAAATTCGGTTTATCGGGGTAAATTTAATATAGAGGGTTTAGAACTTACCTTTGGTTTAACGGGGTTCGGATTAACGGGGTTGACTGTGCAGTCATTTGCTTATATACATATCGTCGTAGCAATGCATTCTGATATAGTGACTAACTCTTTTTGTTATCTGCTATATTGGAAGTACACCTTTAGCGTTCAATCGTAGGTGTAGACAATAAAAGAACGCAAAGTTGGAAGGTAAATGAACACAAATGTGACTGGCCAAATTTGGTACCTGCCTTGTGAATCCTTTCCCGTTTTGATATTAATATCTCCCGCAAATTTTTTATGTGTAAATCAGTGTTCTAAGCAGGAAGCGTTAGAACTTAACAGGATGCATAGTTTTTTAAAGTCATTTTTGATTGAAGATATAAATTTCTACATCTTCCTATCACAGTAATATGCGATTATATTGTGAAAAAAGTTTTCAATAATACACAAATTGGAATATAAATAAATGTTTGATCTGTAGTATCGATCCATTGTCTTGCTGCATTATTCTAAAAATAACTTTGCTGCGCGCAATTAACCGCATTTGTATAAGGACTTCAAACGTGGCTGTACAGTCTGTCATAATTGTTGTCGATTTTAAACTTACAGTGACGACGCCAGAAAATACGTAAGCAAAAAGTATATGTGCAAGTGTATATTAATCGACGATTCTACTAAAAAAACTCTGTTTCCAGTGGTTGAAAATTTCACATGTAGGCGAAGGAACAAATGAACGTCTAACGCAATTTGGAATTGCATATCCAATCAGATTAATGATCTACACCATTCTATAGAAGTATAAGATTTCGTCTAAAAAACTGTTAGACAAAAAATGGAAACTTTTTAGCATTATCCCATTTCGGGAATAATCTTACTGGCATTAACTATTTGAAGTCGAACAAAATGTTGATATTAATATCCGAACAATTAAAGATGGTCACATATATTAACTAACCGCAGAAGAGCAACATAATACACATTCGTAGATTACACGGATACTCGACAAAGACACGATTTATTGACATTTTTCATGCATCAATGGGAAACGGATATTAAGATTTGGACTATTTATAAGCACAAAAGGTGGTAAGGGGAAACATACTCAGGTGGGAGAGTATGGTGTTTGTCTTGAGAATCCCATTGGAAGATAAGAGTCATTGCGTTTCAAGAATGCTTGGTAATATCTATGACAGAAAGGGTTAGCTATACTGTACAATATTACAATCAGACTATTCATCTCTTTACATGGCGAATACTCCACAAATGCAGTCCCTTACGATTCATAGTATAATGGCATTCGTGCAGCCTTACATTCAATGTATGCAGCGTATAGTCATCAAATGAGTTCATTGTTGATTATAAGTATTGTTTTGACTATTATGGCACAAAGGCTCAGCAATTATCAAATGCCATACGGCTGCTGGAGGGAAGGAAGGATGGAAAGGAGAAAGGGGAGTGAGAATGTAGGAATTGCAAGTGTTGGTGTAAATAAATCAAAGGAAACAAACATCCTTATTACACTTATTTAGTTGATGATGATTATCTGCGCTCTGTGCTGATAGTGTCACCTGTACGTAGAACTGATTGAACACAAACTGCGGACATATAAAATAGCCACACATTCCACACCCAAATAAATAATACTTCATACTTTGTAATATCTGCGCAAGCTTGAAACCGTCTTCAAAGACTCGACTCTTTCGACGCTCTCTTCCTAGCTACTCCTCTCGAATACATTGTATGTAGTTCAGTCAAATCCGTGAGTGGCGTAGCCATAGACGCTGTAAATAGCTATTATAGATAATAGCGGAGAGACTATTCCGTACTATTGTTATTGTTTTCATATAAAACATGTGCACTCCTGCTGAAGAAGCACTAACAATAAAAAGGAACAGAATATCTAGCACACAGCATTTGTTCTTATTTCTTCGTGCATAAAAACAGCGCTGAGACATAATTTCCGTTCTTTTTTATCATCAACATATTCCCTACATATTCCCTACAAACACATCTTTCGGCTGTATCTGTTTCTCTTTAGCAGCTTGGCGAGCACTCACCTCACAAATAAACAAGACATTGTGAGCTTTCTTACGGGCGAAGCATTAACACCTGCCTGCGATAACAATGAGTGAAGACAGGCAGTCCACTAGTTCAAATACCGATGACATCAAGAATGCTGATACCGATAATACTCGCTCGCCCGAAAGGCGCTCGCGACCGCGCTCATCAAGGTCTTCCTCAGTGGACTCTTTCGAAATTGTTCAACCCACTGGCACTGAATTGAGTGACGAAGGTCTAACCAAGCCTTTAGCTGGTAAACCTTCCCCATACCAAAGAAATCATCACTCTCGCCATGGTTCTTTACATAGTTTTGCTGAATCAATACCTTCTTCTCCTAAACATGAATTGACCTTAAATACTTCTCCCACAAAAATTGATGAAGGTGACGATTTTGAATCCATTCCCTCGCCTACTTATACCGAACGCAGCGACGACTGTAACGATGACGAGGAAGCGAATGAATCCGACAAGACGGATAGATTTGCCCAATTGCGAGACTTGAATCCGCATCAGTTTGGTTTTCCGACAAACTTCCGTGTTTTGTACGCCGGTTATCCGGCTAATGAACGGTTAAAGAATGATGTCTTCCAGAAAATGTCAGAAGCCTTATCCCAGATTTTCTGGGAAGAAGCTGACAGAAATTTACCTCCTACTGTTGACGTAAGGCCAGAGAAGAGGATGGTCATATGTCCGGTAACCAACTATCCCGACAGCGGCAAACCTGAACTAGGACATTATCCAGATTCGGGTGTTGCCGTAACCGAGGCCGACTTTACTAATAGAAGATTACGTGAAATTCTGGACTATTTGGATAATCAATTTGCGAAAAAAGAAAATGACGACGATTTGGTTGATTTATGTGTTTATTTTTTGCCTCCAGATGATAAGAAAATCCCAAGTGAGCTTCTGACAACTATGAAGCAATTACAAGAAAAAGTTACTCTTCTTCCACTGCTTACTGCAGACAATCCTGGTCCTGATGAACTTTCGACTATACGACAGAGGTTATTGCAATTTTTACAGCAAAACGGCATTGACATCTTTGTCTGGAAAGACGACAAATTAGTGCAAAAAAATAATGAAGAAACCGGACGACAAAAGTGGATCAAGACAGTTTATACGAGAACCTTATTGACTGTAGAAGAGTTTACTGAATTGGATATAGAGGCAATGTTTGAAGATTTTCGATTGTTAAGGTCACGTGCCCTTGAATTCAGAAAAGAACGCGTGAAGAGGGAAATTGTTCAACGAAGAATACGTAGTGTTGAGAAAATGGTAGAATTTGTTAGATCATTCTTGATGATGGTATTCATCCTTGGTGTAGCATACTTTTTCTTCCTTAGTATGTGGACATACGGGGAGTTTTCGGTAATTCCAGAAGACATCCGGGAATCGCTTCAAGTTGTATCGAGTGCAACATCGAGGTTACAGCAGGACTACTCATGGCAATACGCAGATACGTTTACCTTTGACGATTCACAGCACAGTAGATTGGTGGAAGTGTACCAAGTGACTCGCTCCCGTTTCGTAATCGATACGTACGATCGAAAACAGACATCACGAGGCGTTACAAGAGCTTACGAAGCAATTGTATTGCATAACGCCAAGGTATTACGACGTCATGACGTAGCCGGTATTGGGGACGGTCGGTACAGTTTTGATATTGACACGAGCGACGCTATAGGGAGTGTATATGTTGCGGTTAGAGATAAAAACGGAGACATAGTGCGAGTGGTACCTTGGTTGAATCACAAGATGATCGAACCAGTCCGACAACCCAATACTCCATCTGCCAGAAACGCCAACAATTCGCCACAGAATTACTATAGCTATGATGTTGTGCGTTCAAATGTTGTTCGACATGCACAGCAAGTGTACTCGATGGCACTCAGCGTCGGTGGACAATTGGCGGACAATGCCAAGATAATATTTAACTACGTCAAGAAACAAGCTGACCATTTTACGGCCTACATTGCAGAAGAACTTGACGAGTGGGTACCATACATCTGGAATCAGATTGCATCTTTGGCCAGCGAGGCCACGGAAAAGGCGAAACGGGGAGCAGGAAAAATTAAGAGATATGTTGCATCAAAGGCAGATTTCTAAAAAGTGAATAATATCGATGACTTAGGCTTTTCATTCCTTTTTTTTTTTTTCTTTTTTTTAAATTAGTTGAAATTTGAGATCATTGCGTTACTTAATTACTTCACTATAGCAGTACAGAATTTTTTATTCTCTTGTATATTTCCCGAGTCATTTTCATAAATATTTGCTTTATACTTGCATTATGGATAAATACTATGAAATGTCATTCAGTCGATGGCAACTGAATCATTTTAGGTTATTTTACCTATGCATACTAATGTCACTTTACGATTGTGCCACGACGACATTATCCTTTAGAGACACTGTACTGTGAATAGATTCTCTCCCTGGTTTCTTTTTTAATATTAATGACAGACATTACCGGGGGAAGATTGACCCTTTGATCATCTGATCCAGATCACATGATAGAATTCTCGGGATGTCGCTTATTATTATCGATCAAACCTTCGTTTGTATATTCACAAATTTTTGCGCCCGGTGTCAGACGACGTATAAGGGACCATTCGTTTATTCGCTTTCTTACAAAGAACGCATTGTCCATTTTTTGATATCATTCATGATTTCCCTCATTGTTATGCGACATCAGTTCAATCTTCCCAATCATTTGCTTCTTGGACTACATATATCCGTATGAAAGTTTAATATTAGAGTCCTGTGGGATAGTTACCGGATGCTGGATTGGCCGGCCGCTTTTCTTCCTCTTGGTCTGATCGACAAAGCTGTATATTTATTTTTTTCGAGGTTAATCAGTTCCAACTTGCATGTGTAAAATAGAAATAAAGCCTTGCGTGTGTGTATTCTTTTGCAGTTTCAAAATTGGAAGAAAACAATGAGTATACAAATTCCTGAATGGTAAGGTCGCGTTATACAATGTATTAAAAACGAAAGGGACTCAGTTTCGAGAATTTTCTATATTGATGTCATAATCGATAGTAAGAGATAAGTTGTTCTTTGTTAATACTATTACTATAATCTGTGTATAGAAACACACAACATTATCAACCAATATGATTTGAGTTACGTGTAAATCAACGAGTGGCATATCATAGTTCTTTATGATGAATGCAACTTACTAATAGAATTTCTTACAAAGAAAATGTTATTATTATGCTCTCTATGACGTAAGCGTGAAACCATCATTTTAATATATATATTTTTGGTAACTCGACAATTAAGTTGTTCATTCTTATCTTTAATATTCTAAAGTACACTCACTCATACGAGTTCGATAAGTAATGCTAATTTTTTTAGACGCAAGGAGAGCGATTAAACAAAATCTGGGTGATGTAGAATTATGACCTATAAATGTCCTGCTTGGTATGCGAATCGCAAGTCTATTCAATATTCTGACGCGTTATCATGAAAGTTGCTGCAAAGTTGCTGCAATGGTATATAACAACTTCAAACATTAAAAAATTTAAACCGTATATAGTAATAGTATTAACTTTTCTCATAAATCAATCATGTGACATGGTTATGATCGGAAGAATGTGCCGAGTTTTGTAGCACTCAAGACTGCAAGCTTATTAATTCAATCCCATTGATGTTAATAATAGCATTCTCAATGGCTCATATCATTAAGGCTCAGTACGAGAAATTAAGAAATCAAAAAGTTCATTAATTATGCCACAGTACGATCATGTCCTTAAATCGTTGATTTGCCTTCATTATCAATTAAATAATATCATAAATCGCAATAAAAAATAAATACGGCAAAATTTTCTGGCTAAATTAATATTAAATAGAGAATGTCCATACTTCTTAAAGTTATAGGAAACTATAGTAGAAAGTAATCTTACAATTTAATTTGACATGACGTCTAACACGACATCTATAATGCTTTCTAATTCACGCGACGCTCGACAGATCTGGTGTTTCGATACAGAATCTGGGTTGTTTGGAGTTTGCATGTAATAGCTCTGTTCAATTACTCTTTTTCAGATCAAAATTCTGGAACCCTAGTATATAAAAAGTCTCCTCATATTCACTAAGCCAATTGACTTTTGTCACTCAGCTTGTACTCATTACAGTTATAATTTTGTTACGCATATTCTGCAATTGTCAGTTTAAAAAAAGTTAAAATACAGAATGACGTCCATTTCTGGGGGGTTTTCTTGACGGCAAAATAGAACAACCCAAAATGTAATGGGTGTTACGTAAAAGCCCAATTTGTTCTTTTGCCATACCCAATTATAAACAAGTATCTTCCCGAAACTCCATCCGACGAAACATACAACTTCAATATAAATCTCGAAAGGTAATACTTCCCCGCGCATTTTTATTTCCGATCACAGTTCTTTTGTCACCCAAGACAAACAAAAGTTGTGTGATTCGCATATATAGCCCCGGTGTCATAGATCACAGTCTAAATACCCACATCCTCTGGTAAGAAGACGACTGAGGGAATTGCCAACACAAGAAGGAGATGGTTGAATAAACAATGTTTCAAACCCTTAAAATTTCCTTTTAAGCAACTCACAAGAATACTGATTTCGTTCGGGTATCGGAGCAAAGACTCGATTCAATGGTTTCGGTTGAGCTCGTTTGTACTTACAATACGTATTCCTGTCTTTCCCGAAAGCTATTATTCAGTTAGTACATTTGATGCTGTGCAATCGATCACTTGCAGGACGATTAACTTCCAACAATCCATCCACTCGTAGCCCTGTTCAGAGGCGCACCAATTCTAGTCATTGAACCAGTTACGGGCGCACAAAACTCTATAATGAGTGCTGATTTTTACTGTGGGTAATAGTTATTGTCTGCACGGATTGGATATTCAGTGCGAATCACATGATTTGTACTCGTTTGAGAGATGAAGTATTCTGTTAGTAAGTATTATGGTAGAAGCGGGAGACAAAGATGGAGCATGAATGCGTATTATACTCGGATCTGCTTTGGTCTCGGCATTGGAATGACCGGATATTGAGTGTGTGCCATCATAAACCAGAGAAAAACGTCTGATATGCCATGCCAACTGTTACTACCGTAAATCATGTACCGCTATTTGTTCATCGTATCGTTTATCATACCATTTATCGTGTTGTTTATTTCTTCAGTGGGGGAGGAATTATACAAATACCCTCATAAAATGAAAGATGACGGGCAAGCTGTACATTAGTTCACTTTTATAGCCAAGATAAGCCAAGCGATTAGATCAAGTGTGACAGGAACAGATGTTTCGAGGTCTTTATTTAGGCACACATGGTGGTGACAGGAACAGATATTGCATTGGGCTGGATAGACAAAGAAATACGAAAACCATGGGACAAAATACTCCCGAGATTCCAAGGTCTTATTGGTCGTTGGAAAATATGGTGATGTGGCTTTACTATACGTGGAAATATGGAAAAATTTTCGATGGGAACAAGAATCACGCGATCTGAATAAATAAAGTGTAACAACCTACTGTTTGCTCGATTGTATATTATACACTTATATTATACCACACAACACAGCACAGCACCGCACCACACCACACCACTAACACAACACACTAATATAACACACACCACATTTACACTAAACGCAATAAAACAAATCATAAACCCACGAGTTTCAATGTTGGTTTTGTCAGACGAGAAAATTGACTTTCAGTTATAAATGAATGTACATGGAAGTACGAAAACTTAAATAATTTTGATGAATAAATAAGTTTCCAATACAATTTATATTGTGGTAATCGAATAGACCATAAAAAGCAAACCTGCGAGCAACCTCCCTAATATTTCAATATCACGGAATACTTCCGAAATCGTCAAGTCTCCGTAACACTACGGCTGACGGAAAAAGCTAATTTGTCTTTTCGGAAAAGTCTTCTTCCGCATCGTAAGCACCTGCAAGAATGTGGATCACCCGACTTTTTTTGTTGGAGATTAAAGAGACGTCGGGGCCTCGATAATATTGGCTATACT